ACCCACAAACTGAACGGTCACACTCATCTTTCATGTTGTCACTAAAACATCACTCCTTCCACGTCTAGTTGGTCGTGATGGAGGCGGAGTGCGTTGGGTCCGCTTTCCCTGCCCAGCCGATGTTCCTGACGCAGGGAAACAGATCCTGTTGGGGATCCCTACCTTGGCACAACACCTGCCATGGTCTTTGCACACTCACCACAGTAAATGCATCATGTTGTCAGCTTTACAGTATCATAGTCAGAGAAACTGGTCAGGCCGCTCTCTTCCAAATGTCTACACTTCACCCTTTTACTGTCAGTGGGCTCAGAGTCCATCTAATGTGGCTCATTATCTGATGCCGTCTGCAGACCAGTGTTAGACACTGAGAGGTTGATGGCTCCGTGTCAGAGCACCGGCCTTAACGAAAAAGTTATCAATCGTTCTTTTCATCTTTTCTCATTACCCACAGCTACATCCACTCCTATCACGCTGCTCACCTCTGCTGCGACGATTCAAACAGCCTGAAAGTGAATAATTTGGAGACGGTGCGTTTGTGTCACAGTGAACAGTGAAAACAGAGACTTTCTAAAACAATGATGCATGTTAGTCATGTGATGCAGGCATGTGACCAATTAAACAAAGATAGTGGAGAGCATTATACAGCAGCAGTTTTGACAGTCCTATTAAAGATGAATATCAGTCTGCACATGCTCCACAGAGCTTTTCTTCAAATTCTTTATTTCTCTCTCGCTTTTGCAACTTTGTACTTTTGTGTTACTCGCAGCAACAACTCCACCTCATTGTTAGTCCATTTTAAAACTCGGTGCTTTTCCTCCACCTTTTGCTGCGACGTTTCAAACAGCTTGAAAGTGAATAAGCGGCAGACAGAAATGAGACCGGTCGAATCGTCTTGCGTTTCACGCATGCGCAGGACTGGAACGTAAGCGTTTTCAGCCGTCTTAATGTGGACGCACAACTCTGTGAAAACGACTGAAAACACTAGTGTGGACGCGGAGCGCTGTTTTCAAATCTATCCGGGCGAGTGTGGACGTAGCCTAAGTGGCACCATGGAGGAATGAGGTGGTGCTCTAGACCCTGATGAAGTGAACAGAGTGAAGATTTGTGTAGAAGCAGGAAGTGTGATCAGCTGCACTCACCACTGTTGCTGAGAGAAACCTGATGGACTCCAGTGAATCTTCTTTTAGAGACAAACAGGACTCGACTGCAGCTCTGCTGCTGCTCTCTCACACTGTCACTTCTGCAAAATGACGTTGGGCTTCTTGTTTTTCAGGTGTTGCTCCGCCTCTTCTTGCCTCTCCCTTTACAGGAATCAGCCGGTCTGTACTCAGTGACTGTGTGCAGTGGGTGGAGGAGTGAGGAGTGGTGTGTGGGTTCACACAGTAATGACGGCCTCAGGTGATCAGGAGAAACTCACCTGGATTTCCTTTTTCCACAGCAGACTGAGAGCTTCAGGTGGACCCTGAAGGAGGTCTCAGACACAGGTGGTAAAAGTACACAGTGTGTACTGAAGTAGAAGTACTACTGTTAAAAATACTCCAAGTACTAATTCAACTTCTTTACTCAAGTAAAAGTAAAAAGTACTGGCTGTGAAATGAGAGTAAAAAGAGCTGATTGAAGAACATTTCTAACACGTGTTTATACAAAGCTAACTGAACCATGTGCTGCATCAACGTGATAATAAAATAATATTATTCACTTTATTTCTGTCTAAATTTGAATTCTAATAAATATTTTAGCTTGAAATAAGTGAAAAAAAACTGCCAATGGAACAAGTTAAAACTCTCTATTTTTTCTCTGGTTTCAAGATTCACTGTCTTGAAAAAAGTTCATATCCGGTGGCGGACGCCCTCAGACATCGGTGCGTTGGTGGTTCTTTGTGTCTGGGGATGGGCGTCCAGGTACACACCGGCTCACTCCTTGGTGGGTGCTTATCGGGGCCTGGAGCCTGGGGCTCGCTCGGGCCACTTCGGAGGTGGGGTGCCCTCGGCCTCTCGGCCTGGGGCTCGGTCACTCAGGCACAGCTGGCTGCCGGCGGAGCTCACGGGCGCGTCACTGCAACTCCCCCTGGCTTCTGCTCCGCGGCTGCTGAGTGAGCCCTCATCTGGGACTCTCCTCAGCTCTTTCTGGGACAGTGGTGCGGCTGCCCCTCTGTTGGTCTTCCTTGGTCTCTTGTGTTCTGGGGGCCTCTGGATGTCTGGAGTTTTGATCTCCTCCATACCTGCTTCATGCCCTGGAGGACGGGGCTGTGGCCCCCCCACACCCTCTAGCAGATCATTACATGAAGGAACCTTTTAAAAAAACAAGCGCGTCCATGCTCACAGGTGTACACACGGGTGATCACACACACAAACTACACCCTTTTTGGCTCCTACCTCAAGGTCAAGGTCAAGGTCAAATTTATTTATATAGCACATTTCAAACAGCCGATGCTGCACAAAGTGCTTAACAATATAAAAATGGTATTAAAAAGCAACAATGTCATACAATAATAACAATAAAAAACAATAAAAGGACAGTAAAAGAATTAAAACAATAACTAAACTAATTCAAATAAGACCAAAATGTTTGGGTCATAGTGTGTTAAAAGCCAGGGCATAGAAATGTGTCTTTAGTAAAGATTTAAATTGCTCAAGTATTTGTGCAGATCTAATATTTAAGGGGAGACTATTCCAAAGTCTGGGACCTGCCACAGAGAAGGATCTATCACCACGGGATTTGAGGTTAGTCCGTGGGATGGACAGCATTAGTTTTGAGCTAGACCTCGTGGTTTTTCCTGGAGCATAGGCAGAGAGGAGCTCAGACAGGTAAGGAGGGGCTCGGGCGTTAAGTGACTTAAAAACAAAAAGTAAAAGTTTAAATTGGATCCTGTAGGAGACAGGAAGCCAGTGTAAAGAAGCTAAAAGTGGGGTTATATGCTCTCTCCGTTTGGTACCAGTTAGCAGGCGAGCAGCTGCATTTTGAACCATCTGAAGATGATGGATGGTGGCCTGATCTAGACCATAATAAAATGAATTGCAGTAGTCCAATCTGCAAGTAAGAAAAAGGTGAATAACACGCTCAAAGACTTTAGCCGGAAGGTATGGCTTTACCTTGGCTAGCTGTCTTAACTAAAAAAAAACAGGACTGAACTACTGCACTCACCTGCTTATTCAATTTAAAAGAACCATCAATATAGACACCGAGGTTTTTTACATGTGTTTTACAATACGAGGAAAGTAGCCCAGAGTGCTGTCGATATGATTAAAGTTGCCAAAAATGACAACCTCAGTTTTATTTTCATTTAGCTTTAAAACATTTAATGACAACCACTGTTTGACATCAGAGAGTGATATTATACCCCTCTCGTCAAAAAAAGTGACAGGTTACTTCCGGAGCTCATTAATTATTCATGAGCTCCGGAAGTCCGGAAGTAGGAAGTAATTAAATTAGCCCCTAATTAAATTAGCCCCTAATTAAATTATGTCCGGAAGTCCGGAAGTAGGAAGTAATTAAATAATAAAAATATGATATTCATAAAAATATGATATTCATAAAAATATGATATTCATAAAAATATAATTGATTATTTAGAAAGTTTCTTATATATCAAAATAGCATTCTTTTATTTCTTTAAGCAATTAAAAAATGTATTTATTTTTTTATGCTCAAAAAACGCCATCTGGTGGCGGGTCAGTGTGTGCGCGCGCGCGCGCGCGCCCGAGGCTGTGTGTCTGGGCGCGCGGGGGCGCGCCCGTGTCTCCGGACCGTGCTCTCTCGGGCTCTGTGCTCATGTGTTTAAAAATGTATTAAACCATATTAAAATTGTTTAGTTAAACTTGTGCTTTTGTAACGTTCAGTATGGCCACAAACACATGCTGCATGCCTTGGGGGAAAACTTTATTTCGATTTATATGCATTTGTAGATTTAGAATAAAACTCATACTCAGAAAAAACAACTCACGATCCCCGCAGCCCCCTTAACCTAATCCTTAGATACATAAGCAGGGAAAACTCCTTAAAAAACCCTCCGCTATTTCTCCAAAACCCTACAATAACTTGTTAGGGTACCCCCTCTATTCCCAAAACCTTATATTCGATAACAGGGAAAATCCTGAAAAAATCCTTAGTCTTTTTTTCTCAAATTCAGCGCCCCGCGGCTCCCTTCATGCTCAGCCAAACAAAGCCAAAACTCCTTTTAAAAATTTCTCCGCGATTTCTCCAAAACCCCTAGAATAACTTGTTAGCTACCCCTCTATTCCCCCCCAAAAAAGCGCTATAATCCAAAAACATTGGGAAAGCTCCTTACTCTTTTTTCTTCAAAAACTTGCCTCTTGCTAGCTACCTCTAAAATTCTACGCAGACTCTAAGTTCTACCTCGCTCTTAATCGCACCGATCCCGCAACAGCTTCCAGAGCACAATTTTTTCCTGCTTGTTCGCTCCCCGCTCTGGTCCCGAATGCGCTGCTTACCTCGTTTGAAAATTCCCCCCTTAGACCAACTCCGCCTCACTGCGCCCCGCTGCCAATCACATAACCCTTGCACCGCTCCCTTCGCACCCCGGTTAGCCAATCCGCTCCAGGCTCGATTACTCGCTCTCCCGCTGATGTTAAGACTATCTTCGAACCCCAGAAGAGATCTGACTTCAGACGTATCAACAACTGGCGCCGCTCACACTGCTTGCGAGCTCAACAGCCATGAAACCAGGGATCAACAACTACCTTTCGCGTGCCCTATGTGCATATCACTCGGTAAGTGTTAATCTTCCTCTCTAACTACATTTTTCGCATTTTCCTTTTTACCATTCTGTCAATCCTTTCATCTTCAAAAAAGCCATGCAAATAGGCTCTGTAACACTTGGAATACACTTTTTAAAACATATATAAGCTCCCCTCTAACACTCAGAGCTAAAAAGTGCGTTTGTAAGTTAAACTATAGCAGCGATCATGGCCTCATCCGGTACCTCATTTTTCTTACTCTTGTTCATATAATGCTTATATGTTTACTGTTTTTTCCTCGTTTGTAAATACTCGATGTTATTTCTTTTCAGACTCTGAGATAAACCTGCTCAACTCCTCTTTTTTTGAGTATCTCGATCGAATTGGTAGGTTTGGTTCATTCTTCTTCCCCTTCTTAACAGCTAATTGTACAAGAAAAACAAAACATTTACCCTCTTTTTTCATTTTTATCAAACTTTCTAGATATCTCTGACTTGGACACCTTTATTGGTACGAGTTCCCCGAATTCTTCACCACCAGTGCTTGTGCGATCCACAGGAAAGAATATTCGTCTCTCCACACGGGACAGAGAGTATTTGCTCTCTACGCTAGGTCGCCCTGCTTCATCTGGCCCCAGTTCCATTCCCGTCGGAGCTTGTTCTCTCCCGCAACCCTCTGGGAAAAACCTGCGCCTGTCCGCGGGGGACAGCCAAGATTTGCTCTCCGAGCTCACTCCCGATGCTCCGGCCGATCGGAGCCCCAGAAACGCTTCTTATTCTCCGCCATCAGACACACGAAATGCACCGCGCCTGCCTTTGAGACCCAATCACGGTCAGTCTCTCTAGGTTCTCGCTTTTTTTGTCATTTCTTTTTTAAAATAAAAACTAACCCTTTTCTATTTAACTTTACTAACTGTTTGTATCTTACCCTCAAATTCTCAGGGCGTCTCAGAAGGAGGAGTAGCAGGACCCGCAGGATCGCAAGGACAAGGAGGACAACGCGAACACGCACCCGAAGGCAGCTGGCGTCAATCGCTCTTCGTGCGGTATCTCTGTTCGCTGAATTAGTTCAGCTCATCTTATAAAAACTTTGTTTTTGATATTTTTTTTTATTTTGCTTTTCAAACATACTTTCTTTTGTGGTTTTTTCTTTTAATATATTCCTGTTAAACAATAATAATAAAATAAAATGGATAACCAGGAACAAGATATTACAGACCCGTTTCTTGCTTTAGAAACAGCGTTAGCTAGGTTAAATGAAAATATACACCATTCTCAGATTACATATTCACAAAACAGTGAGCAACCTGAGGTGATCAATAATAATGATCCTTTAGAATTGCTTAATTTAGCTCTTGCCCGATTAGCACCCAATGAAAGTGCCTTTCAAAATAATTCTTTGAGTTTGGGATTGGATCATGATGAGATCCAAACAGAGTCAGACGCGGTTCATTCACAAATGAGTCTGACACAAAACATCTCCTCTTCTGATCCGTTTTTAGCAATTAATAGAGCTTTAGAAGCTTTGGCCCAAATACAAAATGAGGTTCAAATACCGCCAGAGTTATTGAGTCAAATAAACAGGCTAAATCAAAATCGTTTCATTGATTCTCAAAGCCAGCATTCGCTAGTCTTTTCCCCAGAAAATGCGTGTCCCCACGAACCGCTCAGCCGCAGCCCCCCGATACAGCTGTCAACCACTTTCAATGACTCTAATCCTCATCAATCACTCAGCTCTCCCGCAGACATTGTCTCTGCGAACGAGCCACTTAACCCAGTAAACCATGATCACTCCTTTCAACAAGGGGGTAATCCAGACCAGAGTTGCGCCAGTAATTCAGCACAACCCTCTATAGTTGTTAGAAATAAATTTAATAACGTTGAAATTAGAGAAATTTTGAATTTTCCTCCTCCAAACGATATACCCGACTATGCGCATTATTATCAAGGCGTAATGTCTAGTGCACGTGAAATATTAAACAGGGTTTTCTCTCACGCACGTCCAGGTGATTATATCCAGTTAGAATTGATAGGCCAACAGTTACAAAATAATGTTTCAGTGATTTTACGTGATAATCATGATTTATCTGAATTTGAAAATTTATTCTTGAGAGCGGTACAGTCAAACTGGTCAGTAATGTGTGATGGCTCGTTGGAGGTTGTAGCTCAGATTGTTACACCCCCAAATGGCAGTGGGAAAAGATTGCTTAAACACATACTCGACAGCGAAATTGTGAAAAAGAAAAGACGTTTTTTATACGTGGTCCATAACCCCTCGAATAAGTTGTGTTTTGCTACAAGTGTTGCCCACCTTCTGCAACCCGATTTTAATGACTATCAAGCACAAACATTAGCTAGAGAAATTCAACAAAAAGCTGGTCTAAATGATCAAACGCCTGTTGGGTTTAATCAAATAATTACATTTGAAAGGTTACTAGGATGTAAAATTATAGTATTTTACCGTAACGAGCATGATCGCACCCTTTGTAAATTTCAGACTAGTACAGTGAATAGCGCAAAAGCCTTGTGTTTATTTTTATTTGACAATCATTACTACGCTATCAAAAATCTTAAAGGATTTTTGGGCACAGCGTATTTGTGTACTCATTGTTACATAGGCTTTAACCATGTGTTATCCCATTTCTGCCCTGCTCGTTGCTCAGTCTGTATGCAGCCTGACTGCAACGAGCATTTCCTCTCCCCTATTGTATGTACCGATTGTAATCGCACCTGTAGATCTCGTTATTGTTTTGAGAGCCATAAAAAACTCGTTGAGAGGCGTGAAAGGTCTGCCAGCAACTGTGAGCTCTACAGGAAATGTATCAAGTGCTCAAGGCTATATTACTTAGCAGCATATGAAAAACCTCACAAATGCCAAAAGAGAAAATGCCAAATCTGTCGTCAGGAAATCTCTAGTGATCATCAAACACATCAGTGCTATATGCAGGTTTTACAACGCGAAACAAAACATAATAACAAGTTGATTTTTTATGATTTTGAAACTTTTGTTAACAAACACGGTGAGCACAGCCCTTTTCTGGTGTGTACAAAAACATCAGATGGTAAATCTTGGAGCTCTCAGGGTGAGCATTGCGTTGAAAACTTTCTTGCTCATTTTAGACGCCCCCTCTTCAAGGGCTCAATCTTTATCGCTCATAATGCAAAGGGTTTCGATGCGTACATTATCCTTCGCGGGTTAGTTATGCGAGGATTAAAACCAAACTTGATAATGCAAGGTTCCAAAGTGATCAGCTTTACAGACCCAGACTTTAATCAACGTTATATAGACTCGTCATGCTTCCTACCTATGCCATTGTCAGCTATCCCGAAAGCGATGGGATTTTCAGATAGTGTTAAAGGTTTTTTTCCTCATTCTTTCAGCTCCAAACAAAACCTAACTTATGTTGGACCGTACCCTCCCCCTTCCGCATTTAGTCTCGAGCGCATGACATCAAAAGGCAGAGAGGAATTTTACAAATGGTATGATTCAGTCAGCTCTGGCCCCTTCAATTTCATGAAACAGGCGCTGTTATACTGTAAAAATGATGTTGAAATTCTAGCTCGGGGTTGCGCATTGTTTAGAAACGGGTTTATTGAAGAGACAGGAGTAGATCCTTTCAGTCGCAACACGCTTGCAAGCGCTTGTCTTAAAACGTATTTGACAAACTTCATGCCTGCCAATTCTCTGGCCCTGCCCTGTCCTTTAAATTACCATAATCAGGTAAAATCATTTTCCTCATCCTCAATTCAATGGCTCGAATATCTCTCGTTTACGCAGGGTGTTTTTATCAGACATGCGCTCAATCAAGGAGAAAAACAGCTCGGTAGTTATTATGTAGATGGATATTCCGAAAATAATGGTAAAACATACGTGTGGGAATTTTTGGGCTGCTACTTCCATGGGTGTATTAAGTGTTTTTCCAATCAGTCCGATGTTAACCCCCTGGTAGGTTCCTCTTTTGCAGAGTTAAACAGCGCCACTCAAGACAGGCTCGCTAGATTGAGAGCTGAGCATAATGTCTCTCTTGTTATAATCTGGGAGCATGAGTGGACCGAGTTAAAACGTAGTGATGAGAGTGTAATCAGCTTTCTCAAACGTTATGATCCACCAGAGCCTTTGAACCCCCGCCATGCCCTCTTTGGAGGCCGTACAAGCCCAGCACAACTTCGCTGTAGTGCCGGCCCCCGTGAGAAAATCAACTATGTCGATGTCACATCCCTGTATCCATATGTAAATAGTACATGTAGTTACCCCTTGGGTCATCCTCAAATAATCTTTCGAAATTTTCAGCACCCTAAAAACTACTTTGGGTTTATCAAAGCTGCCGTTTACCCACCACGACGGCTCTATTTCCCCGTTTTACCATATAAAACAAAATCAGGAAAACTTCTCTTTACTCTCTGTCGCACTTGTGCTGAAATGAACAACCAACATGGAGCCTGTAACCATAGTAACGAGGATAGAGCACTGAGAGGGTTTGGACCACTCCCGAGTTTAACCTCGCATTAGAAAAGGGTTATGAAATAGGTCGAATCACAGAGGTATGGCACTTTGAGAGACAGAGTAACACAATATTCACAGACTATGTACATCATTTCCTGCGCAAAAACAAGAAGCTTCAGGCTACCCATCAGATGCTGTAACTGAGGAGGCTAAACAGCTTTACATTAAAGACTACCAGGCTAAGCAAGGAATAACTTTAGACCCTGAAAACATAAAACTAAACCCTGCTAAAAGACAAATGGCCAAACTTTGTTTAAACTCTTTTTGGGGAAATTTGGTCAGAGAAATAATCTCACACAGAGCAAACTGGTGAGTGACCCAGAGGAATTCTTTAACCTCATGTTCTCTCCAAAATACAAAGTGAGCTATTTCTCTTTTGTCAGTGATGATGTGGCTCTTATTCAATGGTGTTATGGTGACCTCTGCACTCCGCTCCCAAATTCCACAGATAACATCTTCATTGCGGCCTTCACTACTTCATATGGGCGTATGAAACTCTACAGTTACTTGGATCAGCTGCAGGAAAGAGCTATTTACTATGACACTGATAGCGTAGTGTATCTCACTAAAGAAAATCAATCTGAACTAGAAACAGGCAGGTATTTAGGCGAGCTAACAAATGAGTTAGACCAGGA